GCAGCAATTTAGTAGAATAAAATAGAACAAAACTATCAGAGTGCAGTGCTAATGGTAAAGGACCTTTTTGTTTCTGTTACATATATGCGGATACAGATATGTTGAGAAATTGAATTTACATGGCTCATAGTTCTTTTGTTTTTTGGGGTTTTTTTGGAGTTTTTGGCTGGGGCTGGGTTTGAACCAGCCACCTCCAGCATATGGGGTCCGTGCCCTACTCCTTTGAGCCACAGGTGCCGCCTGGGTCGTAGTTTTAAGTTTGAAAAACTTACTTAGAGCGGCACCTGTGGCTCAAAGGAATAGAGTGCCGCCCTCACATATGGGAGGTGGCGGGTTCAAACCTGGCCCTGGACCAAAAACCACACACACAAAAAAAAATTGCTAGAGGCCAGTCATAATGTGCAAAGCTGGGCAGCTGTGTCCACCCGCCTCACGGAAGCCCCAGCTTTCTGAGAGCCACACAGCCCTGGGACCCTCCTTCTGCCAAGATGTTACACCAGGATAGACCCAAAGTGCTGGGGTTTGGGCCTCCCTTTCCCGTCTTTTAATTAAGTGTCTCCTATGGCTCCGCAGGGAACCCAGAAAGACAGAAAGGTACTTAAAAGTCTTCTTCCAGGGCTTTGGGCTGCACAATGAATAAAGCAGCAAGCAGACCCTGTGAATGAAGGAAGCACTCAGCCCTGCTGGAGCCCGTGGCCAGTGGCATCCTGGCACAGCTCTGCCCCCTGTTTTCCCTGGCAAAGCCTGGGGCCAGGGAGGTGGCAGGTCTTAGAGACAGTTAAAAAAGGTGATTCTCTGTGGCTCAAGTGGCTAAGGCGCCAGCCACATACACCTAAGGTGGAGGGTTTGAATCCAGCCCGGGCCCGCCAAAACAACAATGACAGCTGCAACCAAAAAAAATAGCCGGGCATTGTGGCGGGCGCCTGTGGTCCCAGCTACTTGGGAGGCTGAGGCAGGAGACTCGCTTGAGCCCAGGAGTTGGAGGTTGCTGTGAGCAGTGAAGCCATGGCACTCTACCCAGGGAGACAGCTTGAGGCTCTGTCTCAAAAAAAAAAAAAAAAAGGTGACTCTCTTGTAGACAGTCCCCAGGAAAGCTGTGGGGGGCTGGGTTCCCTGGATGTCCCCAGGTTGTCTCTCCAGAACTTTCTTGAACTTTGTCTCTTAGCCTGTCACTGCTACCCGCCCCCACCGCTAGTGGGGGACAGACAGCTGATGTGCTGATTTTATAATAAGGAAAACCAGGTGGGAGAAGGTGAGGCCAGGAGAGTGTGGAAGGAGGGAGCTTTCCCCATTTCCTAATGTTCCACCTGGCATAGCACTTGCTATGTCTGGTTGCTTTTCTTTAAATTTCAGCACCCTAGTGGGTCTGAAGTGGTATCTCATTGCGCCGTGATTTGTGTTTCCTTGATGGTGTTGAGCTCTTCACATGCTTATTAACTATTTGTTTATCTTCTCTGTAGAAATATCTGTTGAAATATCTTTGCTATTTTTTTTTTCTTTGCAGTTTTTTAGCCGGGGCTGGGTTTGAACCTGCCACTTCCAACGCCCTGCCCCTTTGGGCCACAGGCGCCGCCCATTTTTGCTATCTTTTTAGTTGTATTTTTTTATTGTTGAGTTGCAGACTTATTTATACATTCTGGACACTAGTTCCTGATCAGATATCTAATTTGTAAAGACTTTCTCCATTCTATGGGTTGTGTCTCTCTGCCCAAAGCCTTCGCCTAGAGGTAGAAACAGGTCCAGAGACTTAACACATATGGAGTAAAAAAGGGATGGAGAGCTGTTTGGAGATTGGAGCTTTGGGGAAATCCAGAATTTAACTTCTACCTGCAAACTGATCTGTTTATTTGAGGGCTATTTCCATTATCTGGAGTGAACATGTGGTGTGCTCACAACCCTGAGGACAGCCAAGTCGGGTCAATCTGATGGCACCTAAGGCAGCAAGGCCAGAGAACCCCAGGCCCCACACGTGGGCCCACTCTGTTAACAGAGCAGCTGAGTGAGTGCTGCCTGGCGGTCTAGAGGCTTGTGAGCAAGCCACATTATTAGCCATGACGCCAGGGATGATTATCAGGTGACTGGAAACTAATTAGTTCCAGGGGGTGGGGTGGGCGTGGGGGCCTGGAGGGTGCTGGCTTGGGCTGCTTGTCAGGAGGCCCAGAGCCAAGGTGTGGACAGCAGGCTTCTCTGCCCCCTGGGGCCTGTTTGATGTTACTGGACATGAGGGTTCCCATGAGATAATTGCTTTTTTTTTTTTGTTTTTGGAGAGGAACTGAGATTTGCTATCTAGACCATGGGGTCTGGTTCTAGCTGTGACCCTTGCTTTCCTGCCAGCACCTCTGTCTCCTTGGTGGGATGGGTCTGAACACCTCCAGCCACACGACAGCCTGGCTGGGATATGCCTGGGAGTGACGGGCTCTATCTTCACCTTTACATTTTTTCTCCCCTCTCCCTTCTACCCTTCCAGGGATCAGAGGAGCCTGCTCTGCCTGTGGGGGGCAGGTGGTGCCCCTCCCCCTTGACGAGGCGGCCCCACACACACCCGGTGACCTTCCCCAGCCCTGGCACTGCACCACCACCATTGCGTGCATCTCCCTGCCCTTCCTGCCACTGCATGAGGGAGCTCTGGGGGCCCCAGGGCCAGACTCGCTGGAAATCCGGCAGGTGGACCCTCGGGCTGGCCGGGCCCCCAGCATACCTCTCAAAGACAGCCTGAACCACTTCAACCTGCCCCCGCTGCTGGCGCTGTGGCCCCCGCTCCTGGGCCCAGACAGGGATGGGGCCCCTGAAAAACTGCTCAGGGCTGAGCGGACACCCCGAGCCCCTGGGGGCTTTGAGTGCTCTGACTGCCACAAGCCCTACCACACGCCAGCAGGGTTGGCCAGGCACCGCCAGCTGCATTGCCATGCACAAGCCGGGCGCGTCTTCTCCTGCAAGCACTGTGACAAGGAGTACGCCAGCCTCGGTGCTCTCAAGATGCACATCCGCACACACACGCTGCCCTGCGTCTGCGCCGTCTGTGGCAAGGCCTTCTCCAGGCCCTGGCTGCTACAGGGCCACCTCCGGACCCACACAGGTGGGCAGGGAGTTGGGTGGCCATGGGCTGGGAATTGACTGCAGGGGCAAAGGACAGACCCCTACGTGCAGCTCCTGCCTCCGGGCTGCCACATTAAGGCCCCCCATAGAGGGAGAGGCTTCAAACCATAGTCTGGGAGGCTGGAATCCCCAATCGAAGTGCCAACCGGTCTCACACACTTGGAGGCCCTTGGGGAGGGTCATTCTTGCTTATGCCACCCCCAGTCCTTGGCTTATAGCTTCAATCTTTCCTTTCTCCACTGACATACTCCCGTGGCCACCTCCCCACCCCCTGTGATGTCCCTCCCTTCTGGTTATAAGGATACCAACATAAGCCATATTGAATTAGGGCCCACTCTAATGGCCTCATTTACCTTAATTATATTTGCAAAGACCCTTTCTCCAAATAAGGCCATAGTCACAGGTACAAGGGTTAGGATGTGGACTTGTCTCTTAGCAGGGGACACAATTCAACCCACAGGCTGTGCGGGCCCTCAGTGAGGTCTGTCTACATTCTACGGCCCCAGAGCAGCAGGGGTGAGGGGCATGGGGGTTCCCATGGCCTGGCTGAAGGCCAGAGGCTCAGATTTAAGGACATGGGAACCAACATGCCCCATCGAGAGGGGCTGAGAGACCAAGGGAAACGGGGCACCTGCAGAGGGGGACAAGGAAGGTGGAGAAGCAGGGAAGAGGGAGTGAGGGCAATGCCCCGGCCACCGGCCCAGGTTGCCTCATCCACCATGGTATGTGGGGTGGAGGCAGATGGGGAGGGAGACTGGTGGTCCATCTCAAGGCCTCTAGACCCTAAGTCATGGCTTAGACCTGGATCTTCTGGGTCACACGGGGTGGGAGTTTCCAGGTCCTAGGAAATCCTGCCTGGTTTTCCTTTTCTTCAACACTTTTTCTTAGGACACCCTACCAGCCTCTCTTTCCTTCTCCAGAGGGTCCTGAGCCTACCAGGGTTTGGTCCTTGTGACCTGGCCAGGAGCATGGCTATTGTCCAGCTAACAGGGATGCAGTTGGTCCTGGCCCCTCAGGCACTCAGGCCAATGTCTATCAGGGCTGTATAGGGCTGCAGGGCTGGAAACAGGATTCCAGTCACCTGTCTCTTTACACGTGTTGGGGTCCTGGGGCCCAGGTCCTTGTCACCCTGGAGAAGTAGCTCCTGAACTGCCCTTGGTCTGACTCTGCTGGAGCTGCTGGGCCTCACATGCGCCTGTCAGTGGCTGGAGCAGCTGCCACAGGCCCCTGTGCTTCCCTATCCAGATTCCAGCAGCCCAGGGCCCCAGGGGCTGGAGCAGGGACGGTACTGGCTCTAGCAACCGTAGCTGCCTTTGTCTTAGGAAGGTTTCCAGTGGCACAGCCCTGTCTTGACTTTGGTCACTTGGGGTGTGAGTGGGCATTTGGGGGGAAGAAGGCGCTAGTCATTGATGTACAAGGTGGGATCTTGCTCAGGTCTATCTAGCCCCCACTGGTCACTTAACTGGTCCTTCCATGTGCCTCCTACAGGGGAGAAGCCCTACACCTGCCCCCACTGCAGCAGGGCCTTTGCTGACCGCTCCAACCTGCGGGCACATCTGCAGACACACTCGGACACCAAGAGGTACCCATGCCCGGGCTGTGCCAGGACCTTCTCTCGCATGTCACTGTTGGCACGGCATGAGGAGTCTGGCTGCTGCCCTGGCCCTTGAGAGGCGAGTGGTTGACAGGTAGGAGGGTCCTCCCCCAGAAACCAGGGGCCATCCCTCTTGGCAGCCCCATGTGGCCTGGTATGGCCAGAGGAGCCAGGTGTCCAGAGGGCCCAGCCTCACACTTGGTGCATCTCCCCTTCCTGTGTCCTTCAGAACCAAAGAAGCCCATGGGGGCCGCTGGGGTCACCAGGACTGTCTGCCTGCGGAGCCCAATTTCAGAGTAGGGGAAGACAGTCCCTGAATTGAAGACCAGAGTTCCATGTCAACTGGGTCTGGCTTCTGCTTCTCTCCTGCCAAGAGCTGAGGACTGTGGGAGATGGTCACTCACATTGGATGTTTCCTGCCCGAGCCGACTCACGGGGCCACCTGGTCCCTTTGTACCTCGAGGTGAATGTTTTGCCGTGTTGGTGAGCACATCCGTGTACTATGCCCTCAGAAGGCACAACTACCTCTCGGCCAGCCCCTACCTGCCCTCGGTGTGGGCCTGGGTCAAGCTATCCCATGTCACGTGTGTACCCCCCTGACTGAACACTCTCTGAGAAGAAACAGGGCCTAAGAGCAGCGTGTGGGGGACTTGGGCGTGGGGAAGGGGTCAGATCCCCCGATCCAAAGCTCTGGAGTCATCCTGCTCATAGCCTGGGGCTGGGGCCTCAGTGCTCTGCTGGCTTCCTGGGAAATCGTGGGGTGATAAAGTTTCCTCTCTCCTGCTTGTCATTCCCTTTGAAGTTCCAAGCCCTGCTCAGTCCCCTGGGTCAACAGGGGAAATGGATTCTAGGATCATTTTCCACTCTCCAAACACAGAGTAGGTGGAAAATACAAGCCAGGCCTGGTGCTGTGAGAAACCCTCTCAGAGTGGGGACACTGCAACCAGGCCAGCAGTGATCTCTCTGGAGGAGCGAGGCCTGCTGGGGGTGGGGGAGCCACAGGCCTGTGGGGACTTGTGGGCAAGGCTGAGACACAGATGAGGTGGGCTGCACAGCTGGTGGCAGGTGCCCCCTCCCCCTGAGAAGATAGAACCCTGTGCTTCTGCTGCACTGCTCAGCGTTGCGCAGCCTTCACAATGGTGCCCATGACATCTTTTCCCACACACCACAGTCTCTGTGCACGGGGTGGTGCATGCACCAGCTCACAGCCGCCTCTGCCAAGACACCCTGCCTTGAGCTGCCTTAGCTTCTTCCACTCAAGCCTCCCACCTGGTATCCTGCCCCCTATTGCCCCTTTGGACAGTGTCATCTCCTTTGCCCACCCACTGGAATGGGCTTTCTCTTCCCTGAGTCTCCAGCTTGACCCTAGAGGGTGACATCCAGCACAGAGCCTGATCACGTCACTGGCAGGTCGGCAGGGGGAGGGAAGCATTTGTGGGGGGTGGAGGGGCACTTGCCCCTCGGGACAGCGGGCCTGCTGACAGAGCCTGCACTTCCGGTCCTGGCCAAGGGGCATGAGTTAGGCACCTTCACCTGAATTGTGAAATAGAGCTGCCCAGCAAGTGGCCAGGGCTCCCCTCTCACTCCTGAGCTGCCCAGAGCCTGCCAAAACCTGTCTGTGGAAGAGAATATTCAGGGAACGCATATGATAGTTCCGGCCTGGGGGGCCCACCTGCAGGTTCAGCCTGGCTAACACTGGTCTGGTGCTGAAGGGCCTTGGACAAATGGCTTGACAACGCCCACATGAGGGACCTCAGGGAGTCCCAGAGGAAGTGTAACCTTGGGCTCCTCTTGACCAAGGTGACCTTGAGAGACAGACCACCTGGAAAACCACACATGAGCTGGCAGACTGAAAATACCCTTGAGAAAGCCACTGTCACGTCCCTGGGCCTGGACCACAGCCAACATGGGGTCAGCCATCACTTGAGGGAAGTGTGACACAGGCTGGAGACCACGTCGCAAGGCATGCATTTGCTGGGGCTGCAGTAACAGAGGGCCACAGCCTGGGTAGCTTAAACAATGTGGAGTTACCCTCCCACAGTCCTGGCATCTGGCAGCCCCAGATGGAGGTCTAGGTAAGGTGGTTCCTCCTGACACTGAGCCGGAGAATCAGCTCCAGGCCTATGGCAGCTCCAGGGGGTCTGGTGATCCCTGGCTCTCCCTAGCATGAGCAAGTGCTACCCCCACCTCTGCGCCCACCTTTCTGTGTCCTTCTCCCTGTGTCTCTGTCCATCCTCTTGTGAGGACACCAGCCATGCTGGACAGAGGCCACCCTTGGTATGGCCTCGTCTTCACCCACTACATCTGCCAAGCTCTTGTATCCAGGGGAAGCCCTGGGGTCCTGGAGTTAGGACATGAACATACAGATTTCGAGGGGCACCATTCAGTCAAACAGTGAGGACACGTGGATTTGTGAGAGTCACATCTCCAGGCACTCGTGCGGAGCTAAGGAGAGGAATCTCTCTCACATCCTCTGCCTCTACTTTGGTTACACAGGACTGTGGGGTATAGCTGATTCTAACTGATGGGGTTTACTTCAAAGTCACCTGAGGCAGAAGGCACAGCCTGGTTCCCCTGTCAGGGCAGCGGTGGGGGACAGGCCAGCACCTGGGCCTCCTTGGCCAAGGTGGGGTCAGGCAGCCTGGGGTTAAGTGGTCTCTTATGCCTGGTAAAAGGTAGGAGGTCCAGCCAACATTTTTATTTGAAGTCTGGGTGTCTCATAGAAGGGCTTTTTTTTTTTTTTAATAGCATCCAGATGCCTAAAGGAAGCTATATTGTAAATTGTGTTCTATTTTGGGGCCCCAATGTCTAAATGAGGCTATTGCACCTGTTGGGCTTGAAGGGAGGGAATTCACAAGCCTAAAATAGAGCTGAATGTTTTCCCTTCTGCCCCAGTCCATGGAAAATGGCCTCGTATTTATATCTGGGTAGTGCAGGGTGGGTTGGCAGAGGCTGTAGAGGAAAGGGGCACCTGCCAGGGACTGGAGCGGGAAGGGTGGGGGACACTCACTTAGTGTCGGCAAGGCTGAAGTCTGGCTGTGGGGAGGCCCTCTGCCCAGCCTGCTGGCCCACCCTTGACACCCTGCTCTGACCTTTCTGCCCTGATTTTCCTGACCTGGGATGCTCACTTAAAATTTGGATTTCTAGAGTCCTCTCCTAACACCTGCAGGATGAGAATCGGTCAATCTTCCCCAGGTGAGATGGCTTGGCTGGCTCTTTCTCTAGGGACTACTCTGTGACCTTCTTTCTCCTACCCAAATCTTTACTCATCACATTTCACTTTCTTGCCCAGAGAAGGCTTTCCAGCACGCCCACACTTTTCCCAGTGTGTTGTCAGAGTCTGTCTTCCAGGTCGGGGTACGGTGGCCCAGAGGCCCCAGGCTTTGAGTGAGTGGCAGCAGGTGTTTTGGCTGCAGCCCAGTTCTGTCTGGGTGGCAGCAGAAGACTAAGAAATCAGTGAGGTCTCTAGACAAGAGGGAAAATAAGGGCACAAGCTCTGTAAGGGGGGTGGGGGGACGGCATCTTCACAGCAGGAAAAGTCCTCTGACATCTCCCAGGTAGGAAAGAATCAGAAGGGCCCATGGGCCTCTGCTGCTCTTTGACTCAGGCAAAAGCACAGCCTCCTGGAGACAGGTGTGTGAGGGTTAGCAGGCCTCTGGGTGACCCAGGCCCTCATGGGTACCCTATTGAAAGAAACCTCTCTCCTGAAAGCCAGAGGCTCTAAGGTTATTGCCTTTGCTTCCAGAAGCCCAAAGGTTCTATAAATATCATTTTGGCCCAGAACATTCTGGGGGTTCTCTAGATGTTTGAAAATAGCCCACTTGTTACTATCTATACTTGGAGGACCACTCCTGGCCTCTGCCTGCGCGGCTAAGTATAGCTCGCTGGCAAAGTTCAATGGAACACAAGTTTCCAGGCCACATTGCCCTGCGGATGGCGGAACATTCCCCAGAGAGCACCTCGGCTGCCAAGGTTCAGCGCTCAGGGAGGGGCTGGGACTGGGGACAGCACCTTCCCTCTCCCACACTGGATCTGGGGAAGTTTGTGGGACTCCTGGCAAATGAGAGGTGTCCTCACCAGGCCCAGAAGGAAGGCATTCCCACCTGGTCTTTCTATCCTATCTGGGAGTGTCACTACAAAGCCTTGGTTTCTTTGTCTAGAGAAGGGGAATCCTACTAACCTCTATATCAGAATTCAGGAGAATGTCAAGTAAACACAAAAAAGATCCTTAGAATCCTAAAATAACATAGAATTGCCAATTTTAGGAAAACCTTCCACCTTTAACTCCTCATGGAATCTTTGTCCTCTCAGCTGCCCCAACTGCTTGGGCACCTGCTTGGGGCCCACCTTGGGTTTGGCCATATCCTGCGGATGGCAGGAGAGATGGGGGATCAGAGCTTCCTAGCTTGTCACAAGCACACTAGCTCCAGGTTCCTGAGGGAAGGCTGGGGGAAGCTTGGAATAGCCCCAAATCCCAGCCCTGTCTTCCCTGAAAGGGCAGGCACCTTCAGAGGTGACGATGAGGCAGAGAGAGTGGGTGCTTCTCATCCATGTAGCGCCCTTTTGGTATTCAACTGTTTTTTTTGTTTGTTTCAATAGTCAAGTGCAGCAGTGGGAAGGGGGCGATTAGAAGGATCATTCTGCACCTGACATGAGCAATTGAGTGAGATACCTCAGCACCTTCAGACCAGCCAGATTCAGCTGTTTTGAATTGGCCAGAAAGAGGCTGAAATGGAGGACAGTTAGTGGGGACCGACCCTGCTGCCCCTGTTCATGGGGCGTGGGCTCTGTGGCAGCATGGTCAAGGTGTGGCCAGTCCTCCCAGGGACTCTGTACCGCGGTGTGGCTTCCTCCCTCCTTTCTCACAGAACACGCTACATGTAGTGATAGTTGGGTTTCAAGTTCCACTTGGCAGCTCACCTTGAAGAAGCAACATGGTGGAGTTTTGGTCAAGTTACTATTAGAAGATAGCCAGTTACCTTTCCAACCAGATGCCTGTACAGATTTTCTCCACAGACGCCGCCAAAAACCTGTTGCAGAAGCACACAGGACATCCTCACTGTTTTTTTTTGTTTTTTTCCCCCCAAGACAGAGCCTCAAGCTGTTGCCCTGGGTAGAGTGCGTGGCATCACAGTTCACAGCAACCTCCAACTCCTGGGCTCAAGCGATTCTTCTGTCTCCACCTCCCAAGTAGCTGGGACCACAGGTGCCCGCCACAATGCCCTGCTATTTTTTGATTGCAGCCATCACTGTTTGGTGGGCCCGGGCTGGATTCAAACCTGCCAGCTCAAGTGTACGTGGCTGGCGCCTTAGCCGCTTGAGCCACAGGTGCCAAGCCTACATCTTCACTGTTGATGTCTATTAAGCCAAACACTAAAAAGCTTATTGATATTTATTTATATTAATAAGGGTAAATGTAGGGCAGCGCCTGTGGCTCAGTGAGTAGGGCGCCAGCCCCATATACCAAGGGTGATTGGTTCAAACCCGGCCCCAGACAAACCGCAACAAAAAAATAGCCGGGTGTTGTGGTAGGCGCCTGTGGTCCCAGCTACTTAGGAGGCTGAGGCCAGAGAATCTCCTAAGCCCACGGGTTGGAGGTTGCTGTGAGCTGTGTGACACTGCCACTGCACTCTACTGAGGGCAATAGAGTGAGACTGTATCTAAAAAAAAAAAAAAAAAAGTAAATGTAGATTTTTTCCCCCTACATCATTGGAAAATAATCTACTTGTTCTCTGATGGGTTTAATAACATTCATCCCAAGAGCTTTGGGCAGTCCTGGAGTTCATCGAAGCAGTGGGATGCAAGCCCCAGACACTTATGTGGGACACTGTGGCGCAGGGGAGCGGGACACACGATCCCTGTGACAAGGGAAACACCTTACACGGTGAGCAGCTCAGGCACAAAGCCACCAGGGCCAGCCCCAGGATGCTAGATTTCTCTCCCTCCTGGGCAGCAGCCTTTGCACCCACAGCGAGCAGGTCACCAGTGCGTGGCAGACACACGATGAACATCTGCTGAAGGGACAGAAAGGTGCCCTTAAATTCCCTCGTGACTCAAAGTCTGACTCAGGGACCTCCAGCCTGGAAGGTGCCCCTCAGCCTCTGTGGCCAACCACGGTGACCTTGCTGGACACTTCACCACCCGGCCTGTGCTATCGACTTACATATGTCTGCCTAAAACCTCTAGCACCTTCCAGGTAGCGTCACCCACCTACACCTACCAAAGTCAGGCTCGGGCAGTCATCACAGTGACGTACACAGACATGTTAGTGTCGCCTGGCTTCAGAGACGCACACCACGTCTCTCTTTCCTACTCAAGGTGTGGCCTTCAGGCCAGCAGTTTCCACCAGTGTCTCCAGACACCGGTTAGGAATGCAGGTCTCTGGCCCCCACCAGAGCCATAGAGGCAGAGGCTTCAATGGGGGTCTCTGATGACTTGTGTGCTCATTGTAATTTGAGAAACACTATCCTACACTTAGCTTTTTAAAAAAGGAAATCTGAGTCAGAATTGTGGGCAGGAACTGCCTGTTCCCCAGTTGTGCCGCTTAGCCTTGAATTTCAAACTTACTCCCCATTTTCCCTGTACCTAACATCCTCCCCTTTGAAACACTTGATGGTGGAACAAATCAGAATGTGTGGGCATGTGTGCTGAAATTCCTGTCCTCCGGTTTGTCCCCCCACCATGACCCACAACCTACTTCACAAAAAATGAAAATTGGAGAAATATTTATTTCACATAGTTATTCAATAGAGAGGCCTGTGATGACTTACTTCTGACTTACCTGTGGGTCAGTGGTTCAGGGCAGCCATGGCTAATGCCATCAGCATGGGGATCTGCATCTAGTCCCCTTTTAGGGGGGCTGCTCATCTAAGGTCCACCACAGGGTAAGAATACCTCTGCCTACATGCACATTGCCAGTGTGTGCTGCTACCTGGCTCAGCTGTGAATGTGAATTATAGAATCTTAATAACAAAAACAAGGAAAACTGATTTAGCCATGCAGGGAGTGTGGGCTAGGAAGGTATATGGTTGGGAGATAAAAGGCAGTCCCTTATTTTTGCTTTGTAATAATTAATAGATGGCACCTAAAAATTAAAAATCTGGGCTGGGCATGGTGGCTCACATCTGTAACCTTAGCACTCTGGGAGGCTGAGGCAGGAACATCCCTTGAGCTCAGGAGTTCAAGACCAGCCTGAGCAATAGTAAGACCCTGTCTCTGCTAAAAATAGAAAAACTAGTCAGGTGTTGTGGTGGGCTCCTATATAGTCCCAGCTACTTGGGAGGCTAAGGCAAGAGGATTGCTTGAAGCCCAGGCATGGTGGCTCACACCTGTAATCCTAGAACTCTGGGAGGCCAAGATGGGTAGATTGCTTGAGCTCACAAGTTTGAGACCAGCTTGAGCAAAAGTGAGACCCCTGGTCACTACTAAATAGAAAAACTGAGGCAAGAGGATCACTTGACCCCAAGAGTTGGGGGTTGCTGTGAGCTATGATGCCATAGCACTCTACCCAGGGCAACAGCTTGAGACTCTGTCTCTCACAAAAAAAAAAAAAAAAAAGGATTGCTTAAACCTAAGAGTTTGAGGTTGCTGGGAGCTCTGACACCATGACACTCTACCAAGGGTAACAAAGTGAGAGTGTCTCAAAAGAATATATAAATAAGTCTGCATATGTAACACTTTGAGTATAAATAACAACATTGGCAAAGGGCCAGAATTACAGGTAAACCACTCAGCAGTGTCCAGCACAAACAGATGCTTAGCTAAATGATTCATCTCCACCATGGCAGAATATAAACCACTGGGGTGACCTCGAGTAGTAGTCTGCAGTCAACCCCAGTTTTTATGAAATGCTGAAAATACTAGCCATCTGAAACGCAAAGTAAATAACAGACACCCTTTTCCACCCCAAGGCCTATTGGCTGTCCTGGCACAGGCTGTGGGCTCTCACACTATTGCACTTTGTAGGGGAGAGCTGAAGAATTGATTCAGCTTTCACAGAGAGCACCCTGCCCAACTACCAAAATTACTTCAGGTATGTACTATTTGGCCCAGCCATTCCACTTCTAGGAATTTCTCCTGCAGAAATACACTTTTGTGTTTTAAAAAGCACTGTTTAGGCTGGATGTGGTGGCTCATGCCTATAATCACTGCCGAGAATGGAGAAATGCTTGAGCTCGTGAGTTCAAGACCAGCCTGAGCCAGAGAAAGACCCTGTGTCTGGGTCTAGAGTCCGGCGCCTGTAGTCCCAGCTACTCTGGAGGCTAAGGTAGGAAGATCACGTGAGCCCAAGAGTTTGAAGTTGCTGTGAGCTGTGAAGTCACAGCACTCTATCAAGGGCAACAAAGTGAGACACTGTGTCAAAAATAACAAAACAATTATTTATAAATAAATGAAATTTTGAAAACGAAAGAAGGAAGTTACTGTTCAAGGCGGACAGTACTTATCTGGGATGAGGAAAAGTTCTGGAAATTAAACAGTGGCAATGGTTGCACAGTCACTTAATGCCACTGAACTGCGCGATTAAACCTTTACTCATATTTATTTTACCACAATCACAATCAACGTACATATAAACGTGTAAACTCGTTTCAACCGTAAAAAAATGACAAAATCCTCACTTAAGCGGAGCTTAAAGCGAGGGAATTTGAAAATGCCCATCTCAGACGCACCAAGTCGGCCCTAGCACTGGGGGATTTCCCGGTTCGCTCGCGGCGGGCCGGGGCCTCCAGGACCCTGGCGTGGGAGGTACCCAGAGAGGGGAGGGGGCCCTGGGGGCGAGAGAGGACGCCAGGGGGCCCAGGAAACGAGAGGGGATGCAGGGATGAGGGGGGAACCCCGGGAGGCGGAAGGGGTCTCCGGCGACGGGAGCCCGGGCCGCGCTGGGGGCCGTATGACCTTCGGTCCCAAGCACCCCAAGTGCTCAGACCTCTCGGCGGCGGATCGCGCCTCCTCAGCCCCGGAAAGTACCCCGGGCTGAAGTGTGCCCACCGCAGTCCAGCGCCAAGGCAGGTGACACGCACCTGCGCACACTCGCGCCCGTGCAGGCCCCGCCCCGCGCAGGATGAGCGAGCGCTCTCCGGCCGGCGGGGGCGGGCTCCGAGTCTGCAGCCCATCGCCCGATCCCTCCCATTGGCCGAGAGGTGAGGCGTGGATCGGGCTTACCACTCATTGGTCGGCGCGCGAGCACGTGGTCTCGCGGGCCAATCGCGTGGCAACGCGTGAGGTGGCGGAGCCCGCCGAGGTCCGGCCAGAGACTGCTCCTGGCTGTGCGGCTGGGGATGCTGCTGCTTGGCCATGGCTTCGGAGGAGTCCATGGTGGTCGTCACCTGCACCGCGCCTGTCAACATCGCGGTCATCAAGTACTGTGAGTGCTGTGGGCACAGCGCCCGGGGTCGTCTCGCCGGGGTCGGGGTCGTGGTCTCCCGTCTGGGGAACGTGTCGCCCGGGCTGGGATCATGTCTCCTGTCCGGGGACCGTATCTCCCGACCCGGGGCCCGCCGCGCTGGCCGTGCGGCCAGCCTGTGCCTAGAGACGGGGAAACTGAGGCAGGAGGGGCGCCGCAGGGCCTCTTTTCAGGCCCAAGGCCTGTTCAAACCGCCGGTTCTACGCGGCCTGTGGGCTCCCGCAGCATCGCCCCTCGGCGTTGGGCCGAGACTCTCCCGCGGGGTCCCTGTCACCCGCTCCGCGCTCGTGTCTGCAGCTCCATCATGTCCAGAACGTCCTGTAAACGGATTTGCAGAAAGAGAGGTTTGGGATTCGGCTTACTCGGTATAATTTCCGAAATCTGACAGGTGGTTGGAATGCGGGCTGCCTGCTCCCCCGCGCACCTGTCGCCCGGGCCAGTCGGTAAAGAAGCTGGGAGAGAGTAGCAGTTTCACTTTTATTTGCAGAAAAGCCAGCGGTTCCTGAGAGCAGGGGAATATCTCCCCCAAAGAGCTGCCCTGCCTCTCTTTCCTTTTGTTACTTTTATTCTCACAGAAAAGTAAACATCAGCAGTGTTATTACTCATCATAGTACGCGCTAAACAGATTCCTCCTCACGGGTTACCCAATATCTTTCTATCTTAAAGTGGTTGTATCAGTGCTTTTCAACTTTTTATTATCTCACAGCACACTTGACCCTATAGTGATAACTTTTGCGGCTTAAATTATGTTGATCAAAAAAAAAGAGTAAAAGGCGGGGCTCTGTGGCTCATGCCTGAAGTGCCAGCACCTGGGAGGCCCAGACTGTCGATTGCCTGAGCTCACAGGTTTGAGACCAACCTGAGCAAGGAGACCTCATCTCGAAAACTAGCCGGGCGTTGTGGTGGGTGCCGGTAGTCCCAGCTACTTGGGAGGCTGAGGCTAGAGACTCACTTAAGCCCAAGAATTGGAGGTTCCTGTGAGCTGTGATGACACAGCACTCTACGCAGGGTAACATAATAAGACTCTGTATCCCCCCCCCCAAAAAAGCAAAAAACAAAGCTGTTGCGAAGTTTTGTGTGAGCCTAAATGTTCATTCTTAGGGGAAGAGCGCCCAGGAGTTCATTTGCTGGGTTACATGGCAGTTGCTGTTTATTTTTTTTTAAAGATACCATTGGACCATTTATGTTCCTGCCACCAGTGTGTGCTCCAGTTTTTTTTTTTTTTCCAGTTTTTGGCCAGGGCTGGGTTTGAACCTGCCACCTCCAGCATATGGGGCCGGTGCCCTACTCCTTTGAGCCACAGGCACCTCCCATGTGCTCCAGTTTTCCCATGTCCTGTTATGATCTGGTGGTGTTACTGTTTTTTTATATAATTTTATTTTTTATTTTATTTTACTTTTTTGAGACACAGTCTCAAGCTGTCAC